TGAAGAAATTTAGCGCAAGTCTCATATATATTTAAGGTAATGAGGGGAAAGATTCACAATCCAGACCGTATTGCAACAAGTATGCATGTGTATTCCTGACAGATACGTGTGGTGGCGGCGGCGGCCAAGACTGCTGGCTGTGCCCGCGGCCGCACTAAGCTGGTGATTGAGGCGCCGTTTACGCGCGAACTCCATATCCTCAACCGTATAATAGCAGAAGACATAGATTTATTTTGTTGTACCTCTGGGTGGGTTTATAGTGAGAGCTCTCTTTGAAATAAGTTATGGTCCTACTTTGATATAGATATGGTGTTTTGTAGTAGAAATAAGTACATATGATCAATAATTATTAGATTGTAGCTGTGTAATTGTAATTTTCGTTTATAAAAATAGTTGTCTACGTTATCGAATTATATAATTGTATAGTGTGAAATAAATAAATAAGTAGCGGCACGAAAGTCTAGCAGTGATCGTTATTGCGCATAAATCGCGCTTATTGGCTTGTGCGTATCGTTCGCACGCGCTGATTGGTTCTCCAGTCGCATTCGTGCAATTAAATTCGTGCGTATACCCTCCACGTTTCGTTCAGTCCTAGAATTACGTGCCGCGACTTTTATTGTATTTAAAACCCTCTTTTTCTCGAGGTGCACTTCACTTGTCAGGATATTACAAAATTTCAATGTGAATTTGAATTCATTACGTTGAAATGCAGTTTACGTGACCAAAATGTCGATTCTGAAATGGATTTCAAGTCATGCCTTCGAATATTTTCAAGATTAGCTTCAACTCCGTTATTTCTCGCTCTACCACAAATATCTATGCTATGATACAGACAGAGTACATGTTTGTAAGTTGTTACCAATAGTATGCCAGTTCCTAGTGTGGTGATAAATTATTTTTTGCAGTTAATCAATTTAGCAGGCGATTTATAGCGAGACTATTCTTTTACAACTATTTTGCGTTTGTAAGTTCTTAAGATTTCTGCAATCTAATGGGGCTGTTATAAACTAATTTGCTTAATTCCGCGTAAAGAAAGAAAATGATTTATTATGCCCAGTTTTAAGGGGACCTCCCACCCTCCCTCAATCGGGTGAATCCCAACACTACCACCCCAACGGCGACGGGTATAGTGCGCGCAATTGAGGGAGGGTGGGAGGTCCCCTTAAAACTGGGCAGGATACATCATTTTCTTTCTTTACGCGGAATCAAGCAAATTAGTTTATAACAACCCCATTATAATGGATTTCCGCAAAGTAATGCCTGATTCTATTAATTATTTCTGCAATCTGTAAAGCACAGAACACTATTTACCTGTAGAGTAGGTAGCATAAGGTTGACATAGCATTTCTTTTGTCGAAGTTTATGAGAGCCGTGATAACTTAGATGTTTAAATTTCATAGAACGTGGATCCCTAATACATAATAGGGCACACTACAATTTTTGCGCTCGTGGCCGCTCATGAATGTTTAAATATCGAATGTTATATTTTTTTCATAATTGTAATTCATATATAAAATAATTTTTGGCAGGAAAATATGTCTTTTTTTATGGGATAAGGGTGACAAACGAGCACTCAGTTCACTTGATGGTAATTAGATTCCGTGACCCCTTTCCCCATTCTAAACCATAATATAGCTGCAGCATAGCTCTACCACGTAAAATTATTTAAGACAATTGTTTTTGATCACAAGTTGAATTTCATCAGTCGTAAGAAAAATAGAAATAACGTGGAAAGATTCTAGGACGGTAGGATTCTAGGAAGATTGCACTGCTCGTCTTCCAAATGTATTTGGAACCAACTCATTTGGGCTCTATAAGGCATTGTTACGCAGAATTTGATCGTAGCCGTGTTTCTTCCCAGGATGAATTTCGTAAAGGTCGACCCTCAACTACAATCACTGATGAATATGTGACTGTTACTGTCAGACGACTAATGGAAAAAAAAACTGGTACTTCACCTATGAAGAGATTCGAGGTCATTTGGGTGTGAGACAAATCCAAAAAAAAATTCATCATCATTTAAAAGTTATAAAACTTTGGCACGATCGAGATTTATGATGAAAATATATAAACTATGGTCTCACAGTAATATGTTCATAAAAGAATAATAGCTTTAGTAAGAAATTATAAGAAAATCTGTCATACTGTAAATATTTAAAACAAATATTTACAGTATGACAGATTCAAAATTGACGGCTGGCTGGCGCAGTGGCTTAGCAATCAGTTGTTGCGCTGGCTGCCGCGGGTTCGAATCCCGCACGGAACAAGTATTTGTATGGCCTACAAATAATTGTTCCGGGTCTGGATGTTTGTCCTTGTGCAATTTATGTTTGTAAACTGCCTCCACGACACAGGAGAAAATCCTAGTGTGGGGGTAACGTTTTATAAAAAAAAAATAAAAAAAATATATGTTTGTATCGATTCTGCTGAGTTAGGAATTCTTTTATGGAGTGAAAAAGAAAAGCTTTATAAAAAAGCTTGTTATAGGCATAGACAATGTCAAGACACATGACAGCCACCATATTCAAATAGAAAAGGATGACGCACCGGCAGTGTGCTTATTTATATTTAGCTACACGAACGATTTTGAGCCACTTCGAACCTCCCATAACTCAAAAACGGCACGCTTGTATTTTTTTGTCTAATAAGGACACCGAAAATACTTTTTTCAAATATACCCAAATTTTGTGAATAAAACTATTAAAATTCTTGAGTTATTAGGGACTCAAAATAACTTTTATAACTATAAATATAAATATCACTATAAATATTACATCATACTTACATTTAGTACGTAGTATTATTATTTATTCTGTGGTTTTAAAATATTGTAATAAAAATCTGTGTTTACTATAATAATCTAGTATGTATGAAATTTGGTTTTTCGAATATTTTGTATTTGTACAGCGATCTTTTTGAGCCGCTGCAAACAACCGATACAGTATCCACTCAAGGAGCCGGCTGACGCCGAAGTGGCCGAAGTGAGTGAGTGAGGCAGTCTATTTAATGAAATTAATTATTACCAGGCTGCTCAAAACACCGAAAATTTCTGGATTTTTACGCCGAAAAATATTAATTATAACTAAACAAAAGAAAATTTAGCTGCCATTTACATGGTTTCCCACATGATAGACGAAGAGATTAAAATAAAATGAGTTAAAAAATTGATATTTTCAAAAGTTATCGTGTTTACCACTCCATGCGGACTTGATACTCGTAAATCTATACCATAAGCACCAAAACCAATTTTTTAAGTAAAATTGGCAATTAATCGATTTAAAAATATTAATAAGTTCAACAATCATTTATCTTTCTGATAATGTGCTTTTTATATATGATATTGAACATAGAAATTATATAAAACGAAATTATATAACAATTTTATGCGACAAAATGTTAAAATCTTGATTTTTAGGGGCTAGTAGACCATACCTACGCGCTTAGCGCTTAAGGCATGCAATATTTGACTATTCAGTTTAAAATGTGTAGTTGCTAAAGTACAGTTGTAGATACACTTTTCTTTCTAATGATGCGGAAGAAGGGTATAAAATACATGTACTTACATATCGTACCTTCGCGCTGGGAGCGTGCAGACGAAGCGGTGGATCCATAAATTTAAAAGATGATGCTTTTGCCAGGTGCAAGTAATCTCAAGAAATAAGTGTAGTTTTCTCCGTTTTTAAAAACAAATTATAAAATAAGGGTACGATGACAAACGAGCATACAGTCCATCTGCTGGGAATAGTCATAAAATACACTAGTGATGCAACTAAAGATGCAACCCTAGTTTGAGCTTGATAATACTCGTAGTTTTATTGGTTTTGTTCCACTATGTCATATGTCAATTGTTATTTAACCAGAAGCAAGGATATTTGATATGAAATAAGCACCTTCTTCTATCTTTGTCAGCTCGTAAAACTTCACTACTGGACATGGTATGGAGGGATGATTTGGCATCACTACTCGTAGATTACACACCTACTACATTAACCCGTGAGAAGGCGCGCTATGAGCAATTTGCTCACACAAAAATTTAATTCAAAAATTTTTTGTCTTTCCCTTGCCACACCAATTCAAGCACTTAAGTACCTTCCTAAATATTCACCCCCTCTCCCCTGACGCAATTCTCGATCCGCTCAGTGGCGTTGCGATCGCGCAGCAAGGCGTTTGTGGAGGCCGTGTACCAACGTGCGGCAATTTGCTCATCATGCGCCCATCCGTGTAAGTATTTATTTTTGTGGTTTAAAAAAGTTAGATTGTTATTTCTGCCATATTATTTCTTATTATTAAATTATTATTATTATTTTTTTGATTTATATTAGTTGATTATTATGTAAAAACTCTTTAGTAATAATGTTATTATTTTTATTTTTCTTCTAGCTACACTACAGATACAAAATGGACGATCGAATGCAAGCACAAATTCGTTCGTGGTGGGAAGAGGATTCTGGAGATGAATTGGATGCAAATCTTGAAAATGGGGAACAATATCGTGTTGACACCATAGAAAGCGATAGTTCTGTCATCCGTAGTCCTAACGAAACTGATACGGAGCATTCGTCGGATGAAAACGATGCTGATATTTCTACTCCCGCGACTCAACAACAAAGAGGTAGGATCCCATACTATATTGGCAAAGATCGTTCCACAAAATGGCTTATCCACAAGCCTTTACGTAACGTACGTACTAGGAGTTATAACATAGTTATCCACCTGCCAGGAGTAAAAAATGTAGCTAAGAATGCCAAAGAACCTTTACAATGTTTCTCATTGTTTGTGGATGATACCATGATAGACAAAATAGTCCTATACATGAACGTGTACATAACTAAACTACAAGAAAGTTTTCACGTGAACGGGATTGCAAACTTACAGATGCAGTTGAAATAAAAGCATTGATCGGAGTTTTGTACATGGCGGGCTTGAAAAAGATTTGTCATTTAAATGTAAAAGAAATGTGGCTAGATGATGGAACAGCATGTGATTTTTTTAGACCAACCATGTCAATAAAAAGATTTTTATTTTTGTTACGGGTTTTGCGATTCGATGACATAAATACTCGTGATAACAGAAAGGAAACCGACCACCTGGCACCAATCCGAGAAATTTTTGAAAGCTTTGTTGCTCATTGTAATCAAAATTACACACCCGGGGAATACTGCACTGTGGATGAAATGTTGGAATCATTCAGAGGCCGCTGTAAATTTAGAGTTTATATATCCAACAAACCCGCAAAGTACGGCATCAAAATCTATGCACTTGTAGATTCCAAAACCTTCTACACAAGTAATTTGGAGATTTACGCCGGGAAACAACCCGCAGGGCCATTCAGTTTGAGTAACTCCGCTGCTGATGTAGTGAAGAGAATTGCACAACCCATATTGAACACGGGAAGAAATCTAACTATGGACAATTATTTTACATCCATACCGTTGTTTGATGAACTGAAAAACACCTACAGAACAACTGCGGTGGGAACGCTGCGAAAAAATAAAAAAGAGATTCCTCCTTCTTTTTTGTCAACAAAGGATAGGCCAATGCCAAGTTCAATTTTTGGTTTCGGTGAAGATAAGATAATCTTATCATATGTACCAAAGAAAAAGACAAAGAAGATTGTCCTTATGCTATCAACACTTCACAATGACGACGCTATAGACCAAGAAACTGGAAGTGAAGCTAAACCTGAGATTGTAACATTTTACAATTCCACAAAAGGAGGCGTAGATGTTGTAGATCAAAAGAAAGAGGATTATTCCGTTGCCAGAATCACATCAAGATGGCCAATGCGCTTATTCTTCTCCATTTTGAATATAACTGGGATCAATGCCCAAATAATATACAAAGCCAACACAAACACTGATTGAGAGACGAACATTCTTGAAAGAGGTGGCTCTCGAGCTGGTGAAACCACATATTTCACGCCGGATTCGCATGGAGAACATATACTCAGATCTCAAATTTCTAATGAAGCGATTTGTGCCGGCTCCTGTGCCTGTTGCGGAGCCAGGACCAAGCGGATTTTGTGCAATATGTCCTAGACGTAAAAATAGAAGGTCAAAAAAGCCATGTACTTCGTGCAAGCAATTACTTTGCACCGAACATGTAAAATACATGTGTTCAGTGTGTTTCGAGAGGCACATTAGTGTAGATTTAATGGATGAATAACACTTTTTAGTTTTTGTTATGTAACAGTTTTTATTGTGATTTTTATGAAACGTGCCAAAAAATTTAATTAATACTTGGTTGTTTTGTTATTTGCGTTAGAAGTTGCTATTATGTTTAATAGTTTTGATTAAAATACTTGTTTTCTTACTTACTAAACCTTGTGTTATTTATTTAAATACATTATAAGCCAATAAATATAGAAACACTAAAAATATGAACATTTATGATAGTGTGAGCAATTTGCTTGCGCGCGCCTACACGTGTAAGAAAATTAGGCGCACCTTCTCACGGGTTAAAATTATTTTATAATACTATACTAAGCGTTAATTATTGTAAGAGTAGTTAAATATATTTTTGTAAGTGTGTAGACGCTAGTAAAAATATGTCAGCGTCTATAAAAACTTCACCGTCTCTATATGTTGCCAGAAAACTCTAAATATGTAAATTACAAGCTTAAATATCATATCTTATTTAAGCAAGGGCTTCTCTGGAGAACATAATAAAACAAAGCACTACGGCTACCTCGTCGGACTGCACATTACTTACACTCGCCAGTAAATTGTGAAGCATCGCGTGTGAGAATCTAACTGACGTGACGTATCTACGCAGCTCTCGTCGCTATGTGTTGCGTGATCTGAGGGAATTTTTTATTTCTAGGTATTCTTGTTCTGAGGTATTCTTACGTTTTATTCAGATTTATAGACATCTCATTTTAACAATATGCGGTGCTCTATACTTAATGATTCTGATATACATTTACTTAATAGTTCATATTTAAGTGAAACTAGTTTTTACGGATTTTATTGCGTATATTAAATATTTTTTTTTATGTTTTTATATAGACTTTACATCCATACTAGAGGAATTTCTTCTGTATCGTAATTCAGTTTACATACATAAATTTCACAAGGATTTACATCCTATCCCGGAACAATTATTTGTAAGCCACATAAATACTTGTTCCAAGATTCGAACCCACGTCCCTTAGTGCTGCAACTCATTGCTAAATCACTGCGACACGAAGCTGAAGGATTTTATATTCCCGACGTTTCGAGCACTTTACTGCACCCATAGTCACTGGGTGGATGAGGTGTTCGACGTCCCAATGTCATATTTAACCACGGCTAGCTTCAGTTTAAAATTATTAATTTTCTTAGAATAATAACACCTAGAAGCCGAGTCCGCGTCCATAATATGAGGCAACTCAAACTAAGCCAGTACGGCTTAGTTCAATACTCGGCCCGTTAGTGCTCAAAGTCGTGTCGTATTGACAACACCTCTCGAAATTTTAATTAAAAATGACGTTTTATGCAGTGAACGGATGTCAGTATATCAGAGAAACACAAGAAACATAGTAACATTACATTTCACGAGTAAGTAATGCTTTTGAACTTATATTTTTACGTAAAACATTCATCAAAAATAAATATGAATTTTTAAAAAATTGACATATAACATTATATGGAAATGTTGCAAAAGTGAAAGAAAAATTCCCCCACCTTTTTTAATTAAAACTAAAACACGTCAATAGGAATGAGGGCATCCACGAATTTTTCTGCTACCAGGGCGGCGCCACTTTACAGTGAGGTAAAATATTTGACAGATTTCATAGCGGGGATAATAATTTCTCAAGAAAATGTAATATTTAAGGTTTCTTTCTGTATTATTAGTTATATTTTAAATTAATTACATTAGAAATGTATAAACCAAACTATAAATTATAACTAAAAGCCGATTTTTAAAAAAAACAGTTATAAAGTGCAAAAAATTACGAAATCAAATCTCTGACGCATTGTGTGGTGTAATAATATAATATTTTAGATAATTATAAACTATTATTTAAAACTAATTTCTCAATTAACTGACACTATGTTACAAAAAACTTTACCTCAGTTACCACTAGCGACATCTGGTGTAGTGTGGGTGATAGTGGAAGATTATAAGCCCTCATTAAATAGAGTGCGTAACGCAACTTGACAACTTATTACTACGAGGGTTGCCAACATTGAAAAAATGCAACGCATTGTTTTTATTTATCGACGGCTCCGTTGCGCAGTGGCTTAGCAATGAGTTGTTGCGCTGGGGGCCGCGGGTTCGAATCCCGCTCGGAACAATATTTGTATGCCTTACAAATCATTGTTCCGGGTCTGGATGTTTGTCCTCGTATAATTTATGTTTGTAAGCTGCCTCCACGATACAGGAGAAAATCCTAGTGTGGGGGTAACGTTTTTAAAAAAAATTAATAAATATGGATGATGAATTTTAAGGAAACTTTTTATATGGTCTGATAATATGTGCATGTTTGGTTTTCGTTTTATGTTTCTTTCTGATCCGATCATTGCGGCTTGTGAGACAGAAAACTTTTTACGTGGTAGAGCCATGCTGCAGCTGTATTAGTACTATAGTTGTGGCACGAATGGGTCGGCTTGACCGGGGTAGGACCACGCTCTCACAGAATACCAGCGTAAAATAGCAGCTTAACACTGCTGTGTTTCGTATGGTGAGTGTAGAGAACCGGTGACCATTTTTACTGGAAAAGAGCCATTCCATCTTAGTCCTCACGGGTGACAACGCATCTGCATTTTGATTCGCAAACGAGGATAGATGTAGATGTCTATGGGCCGCAGCAACCACTTACCATCAGGTGGACTGTGTGCTCGTTTGTCACCCTATCCTATAAAAAAAAAACATCAGACGCAATCGAAATGAAAGCAGTTGGAAGCCCACTAAAATACAAAAATTTGTTCTTTACATTTTTTTTTATAGGATACGGTGATATACGAACACACGGTCCCCCTGATGATAAGTGGACGCTGTGACCCATATACATCTACAACTATCCTCAATAAAGAGATGCGTTGTCATCCATGAGGACTGTGTAAAACCTACCAAAATTAAAATTTCCTTGTGTTTTTCGTATTGTAGCTTACATTATGCATGCGGTGAGGTGTCGTGTAGTGGCGGTTAAGAATATCCACTACCCCATATCTTCCCGTGGGTGTCGTAAAAGGCGACAAAGGGAAACAGGCAGGAGATGGGCAGCAGCATCTTCCTGATAATAGCCAAAATAACAATAAAAAAACTGCGGTTGCCAACCCGCTCGCCAAACGTGGCAACTATGGCAATATACCCCCCATGAGCAATGACAATAATAAACGGCCTCCAGTCCCCGGCGGCCCCGCTATTCCTGGCTACGGTGGCGACCATGGTAACGGCGGGGCAGGGGGTGCTAAGAATCTCCGGTGGAGGTTCAGTTGCCACCTTAGACGACTTGACCTGGCAACATACAACGCACGCACCCTGAGGACTGACGAGAAGATTGTGGAGCTGTAAGAAGAGATAGACAAGTTACGCTGGCATATTATAGGATTATCCGAAGTCCGAAGAGAGGGGGAGGACACGGTAATCCTCGAATCCGGCAACTTGCTCTATTACCGGGAGGGCGACCATCTGTCCCAAGGAGGTGTCGGATTTATCGTCCACAAGTCTCTCGTTAACAACGTTGTAAAGATTGAGAGTGTGTCGACGAGGGTTGCGTACCTTATACTCAGAATCACCAAACGGTATTCGCTGAAGGTCATACAGGTTTACGCACCAACCTCGGCACACCCCGATCAGTAGGTGGAGGAAATGTATGAGGATATCTCTAGAGCCATGCATTCCTCCAAAACCCAATATACGGTGTTAATGGGAGACTTCAATGCAAAACAAGAGAGAACGGTGAGCTGAAAGTAGGGAAATTTGGAATAGGGCAACGGAACCCAAGGGGCCAGCAGTTGGCTGACTTCATGGAGAAAGAGGGACTCTTTATGATGAACTCTTTCTTCCAGAAGCGGCCCCACAGGAAGTGGACCTGGTCGAGCCCCGACGGTTCGACAAAAAATGAGATTGACTTCATTATGACGATCAGACGACAACTGTTCAGTGATGTCTCAGTGATCGCGAGGGTGAAAACCGGCAGCGATCACCGAATGGTTAGAGGCACACTGAACTGACAAGCTCGTGGACACTGTCCATGCGGTCGGAGCTAAGTTCTGCAAGACCCGCCGCAGAAGAACACAAAAACTCTCCGATCACACTCTTAATCTCATGGCTGTTAGACGGGAGATGAAGCTACATTCTTCAACAGATTTAACAGCATACAGGCAACTGAACAGACAGATCTCCAAATGCATGCGGCGGGACTTACGCGACTTCGATACAGCTCGTATTGAAGAAGCGATCGAGTGGAACCAAGGCTCCAAAGTCTTTGCCAGAGATCTGTCTGCCAGAAAGCACCAACTGTCAAAGCTGAAGACAGAATGTGGCAGCATCGTTTCCGGGGCACCTGAGATTTTGAGTGAGATTGAGAGGTTCTATGGGCAGCTGTACACGTCATCGTTGGAGCCGCACGCAAGTGTGAGTAACGATCCAAGAGCGAGTCTTATCCGACATTATTCCGATGATATCGCGGACGTCAGTCTGAGCGAGATTAGAATGGCTCTCCAGCACCTTAAAAACGGCAAGGCCCCAGGCGAGGATGGAATTACAGCGGAGCTTCTGAAAGCGGGTGGAAAACAGGTACTTGAAGTCCCTTCAGAAGCTCTTTAATTCCGTCCTCCATGGTGGCATTACACCGGAGGCGTGGAGCAGAAGTGCGGTGGTCTTGTTCTTCAAGAAAGGCGACAACGCTTTCTTGAAGAACTACAGACCGATTTCCCTTCTGAGCCGCGTCTAGGTGCTGTTTTCGAGAGTCATTACGAATCGTCTCGCGCGCAGACTTGACGACTTCCAGCCTCCCGAACAAGCCGGTTTCCGAAAAGGCTTTAGCGCCATAGACCACATACATACCCTTCGGCAAGTTGTACAGAAGTCCGAGGAGTACAATTTGCCACTATGTCTGGCGTATGTGGACAATAGTCAATTTCTAATAAGAAAGCCTTTGATTCCGTCGAAATTTGGGCGGTGCTGCAGTCCCTTCAGCGATGCCAAGTTTACTGTCGGTATATCGAAGTGTTGAA